GGGCATGAGTGTCACTGCCTGGATCTGGAACTTTTCCTGCTTCTGCGACCAATCAGCCTCAGCCAACAAACCCTGCTGGGGCCCAGACGCTCCACAACCGGAAGCGGAAGCCCCGCCCTCTGGCCTCAACCCCACCGAGAATGGGCTGCGGGAGGGTGGGGGGGGGGGGGNTGAGTTCAAGCACAGCATCGGGCTATGTGCGACAGCTCAGAGCCTGGAGCCTGCTTCGGATCTGTGTCTCTACACACACACTCTCTCTCTCTCTGCCCCTCACTCACTCGTGCTCTGTCTCTCAAAAATAAATAAATGTTTAAGAATTTTTCCTTGGTTGTCAGCTCTGAACCCCACCCCCATCCCCCCAAAACCTCATCAGGTGCAGCCAAGAACACAGGGCGCCTTCTTCCTCCAGCTTCTGGTATGAGGTTACCACACTTCCCTGGGAGAGGCTAACTGCCTCTTATCTCCTTCAGCCTTTTTTTCTAGAAACTTCATTGCCAGCAAGAGAAGCCACAGAGTCTACAGCTACTGCCCAGCCTGTGGTAGGGTCCCCTCCCTAAGGAAAGAAAAAAAAAACATCTCAAGGCAACCTTGCTATTCGCGTATGTGACAACATCCCTCACAACCTTGTAACATGAGACCACTTAATCAGACAGCATGTTTGCATGTTACCATATATGAGAGACAAAGAAGTAAAATATATATTTAAAAAAAACCATGCCACATGGTGTTCGGGGCTCAGTTCTTTGGATACAAACCCAACTGAGCGATGCCGGCTGGAATAAAGTTGCTTCCTGGAAAGAAAAGCTTTGGTGTCATGACTCTCTGTGCAAGAATCCTGCTACAACCCCACTCACAAGGCAGCAAAGCTCTACCCCAGGCATGACAGACCGAGATGCTCACCCCAGCTCCCTCATAGAGTGGTGGTTCCACCCTGGGAAAGGCAAGCCAGGACCAGAGACTGCTGTCCCCACCCTCACACTGTTCCTAAAGCAACATGGCACTCAAGAAACACAGGCCACTGTCCTTTCTCACAGCCCCAGAGTAGTGACACAGAGGTTATGCACAGGAAGAGAAGCAGGTATAAGAACAGAGCTCTCCCCCAGAGAAGACTTTATCTGGAACAGAGAATTGGGAAGTTCGAGTTTAAGAGTTGAGAACAGTGGAGATTTTGGTCAGAGGCAACTAATAGAAGGCAGGTTGCTGGAGTCCTGCTTCGGCCGGGTCCAGGGGTCCCTGAAGGATGGACAGTGTTGGCGAGAGAGAGTGAGAGAGCCATGAGAATCTTTCTGATCACCAGGCAGGCATCTCTGCTCTGACTGAGGCTCAACTTTATTTTATAATTAAATGTTTGGAGGATGGCACAGAAGTGTCATTTGCCTTAGACAATGATTTCTGATGACAAATTTCTTTGAATTTGTAAGAACTTCCCAGAACATAGATTTGTAGAAGACTCATGCATAACTTTCACCAACAGTGATTGAGGTAGGTGATTTAGATGCTTATCCTATGGGGAAAGAAGGTATCTTTAAGCATACAAGACAATGTTTTTAGCATAAAAAAGGCAAAGTTAGTTCTTTGAGAGCAGGGGTCTATAGACTGTTTGCCTAAGGGGAAATATTAAGAAAAACAGGTTTTTCAGGAAACACAATGTTTGCTCCCATAATCACAAAAGAAGTTCCTCCATAGGTTCCTTCACAGGGTGCAATCAGCATATCAAGGCCAGAATAAGTCACTCTGAATACCAATCAACAAGATGCCTGGGGAGGGGGTTGGTGCTCAACAAAAATAAATGAGTGGGGGTGGATACTGGTCACCATCTGACGGTAAGAGTCCGTGCAACTTACCTTAACCTCACAAGTTTTTTCTCAACTTATGACTTCAGAAACGGCTACCAACAGCAGGTAGCTCAAGGACAGCAATACGCTAAATCCTAAAGTAGCTAGGAATTTGACAGAGAAAACAGGAAAAAGAGCTGGGAAGCATCCTCCAGAGGTCAGAGTAAGCTGCAATGATAAATCTCAAAGACTACCTCTGTACGGGGGCTTGGGGCAATGTATGCCCACTGGGGCATTGTTGAAAACAAAAGAAGAATCAGCCAGCACTTAATTAAGGCTATTTGGCTAGATGTGCTACAGAGGGGCAGAGAGCTTACTACAGATCTGGGGAAAAGTCTGCCAAAGAGAACCTTGCTAAAACCACTGTTACACCAGGATGCCGGGGAACATACCCAAGACTGTGTCTTCTTAGGATCAATGTCAGAAGCCACACACCATGGAGAAAATTGGCTTAATTGAAAGAGTCATGTCACCATACCAATAAACAAGCAAACAACAACAACAACAGCAAGCCCGAAAAGGGATGGGGAATGGACACCCAGTGTTGCTATAAATATGCGGTTACCTCCAACCATATCTAGGTCCTAATGCCTGGTATTTGAATACATGAATGAATATGGCAAAAGGGGCTTTGGATATTTGATTAATGTAAGCATCTTGATAGGAATTACCCTGGGGTATCTGAGTAGGCCCTAAATACAATTACAAGTGTCTTTAGAAGAGTGATAAGGAGATTCGACTTCAGAAGAGGAAGGAGATGTGGTGGTGATGAGGGAGCATAAGGCAAGCTGAGGGCAAAGTACAGGCTAACAGCACCTATCCCTGTTACGGAATCTGGTCTGGATCATCCGGCAGCAGGAACCAAGCGGCGCTCAGAGATTTCTGAAGGCAGGAGGTTTACTTTACACCGGTGAGCTCAGAGGACATCACTCTCTAGAGGTCTGAGTCCCAAGCATAAGCAGAGGGAACAATTTATGGTCTGTTACTTGCACATTCCTCATTAGGGTGCGCGACAATGAGGGTGGGAAGAAGAACTTGGAAGGGGAGTCTTCGGTCAGGGACAGGAATTTCCCTATCAGTCCTGTTGGCCATCTTTTAACAGATTTTTCCCTGTCACCCCCACCTCCTGCCGCTACCCGGTGGGATATGTGTGATATTCCTTGGACACTCTTGACTGCCCAAGAACAGGGGAAAGGAAAGAAAGCAAATGGTTGACTGATAGAGATCACAGTCATACAGGACAGGAGTCTCCTTCAGTTTATGGATAACTTAGTAAACTGCAAGTAAAAGGCAATCTTCCCCACAGCCTACACTCCAGAATCCTATAGACTCCATTTCCTGGAGCCCTAATATCACCCTCATCAAAATGTAAGGGCGTTTAAGTGTTTATGTGGGAAACAAAGGCAAATGGAAAATTAAATTCCCTTGCTGCCTACAGCCATTGACGAGTCCTTGAAACAGACCTTCACAGAGTGACCTTCCTCTAGGAGCTCAGCTGCCTCGATAATGACGCTTTGCTGGGGGCAAAATGAATCTTGGCTTAACATTATCCTGACCGTCTCCAAGATCTTGTGAGTCTCCTTAAACACATAAAGATTCCTTTGCAAACTTCCTTCATCTTTAACCCCCAAGTATATGCTGGCAATTATACTCCAAGCTTATGCCCTCTGATATACATCTGAAGGGTCTCATGACTAAGGTTTTACTAAACAGTAATAAATGGCATTCTCCTAACAGCAGCCAGCCCCTCAAGGTCTTGGAAACCTTGCTTCCAAATTCCTTAGAGACGTACGCTGTCCCTAATCCCCTCCCAACCTGAGGGTATATAATCAGTCACTCTTCACAACCCCAGTGCAGCTCCTTGTGCCCACCAGTCCTGTCCCCGGGCTTTAATAAAATCACCTTTCTGCACCAAAGACATCTTCAAGAATTCTTTCTTTGCCATCAGTTCCAAACCCCACGATCACTCCAAAACCCCATCAGCGGTAGAAACGAGAGTCTGGAATCATTCAAGAAAGGGTCATGGGCCAGGAAATTCAGGTAGTCTCAGAAGCTAGAACAGGATTCTCTCTAGAGTCTCTAGAAGGGCTCACTCCTGCTGAGACCTTGACTAGACAGAGAAACTGATTTCAGACTTCTTGCAGCCAAAACTGTAAAATAATAGATTTGTTTTGTGTTCAATGACCAAGTTCACATATGAACATTCAGAAAAAAATTTTTTTGTTTGCTTTGCCTGATTAGTAGTGATGTGGTTTAAAGTAGGGGTCGGGAGCCAATGGCCAAGAAATAACTCTTGAGACGTTTTCAGTGCAAAAAAAAAAAAGAAAAGGTATTTTATTATGGCATGGGGACAGGACTTGTGGGCAGAAAGAGTGGCCAGGCGTTGTGAGCCGTGACTGATTATATAGGATTTTCTGTCCTATGGAGGGAAAGATGGTGTTAGGGCTCCAGGAAATTGAGTCTACCGGGTTTCTGGAGGTTGTTTTTTTTCTTGTAAATCATTAACACAGATGCAAATTGATAGAAACCTGTCCTGCATGACTGTGATCTCTATCAGTTAACCATTTGTTTCCTTTCCTTTCCTTTGTTTTTGGGCAGCCAGGAGGGCCTGAGGAACAGCACACATATCTCACCTGGGGGCGGGGAGGGGTCGCAGGCTGTTAGTTTGCCCTTTGCCCCCAGCTTGCCTTTTGCTACCTCATCAGGATGGGATGCAACTATTTGTAATTGTCTATTGAGACACGTTGTGCTGAGGCGGACCTGCACACTCTCGAGACACCCAGCTAAGTGGGATCCTTGTCTAACAACATTTTATTGGAGTGATTTCTTTTTCCTTTTCATTCCTATCTCTTTTTGCCCTCCCGGAGTCCAGGATATTGTGGCTTAAATATTTATTTTAAGTCTGTCTTCTAATTACCTACTGATGTTCCAAGTTAAAGGTTTTAGTGCAGAAAAAAGACTTTGTCCCAGGTTGAGAAGGGACGATAAAGACCAAAGTCTCAAATCTGGAGGACCAAAAAGTGTCTGTGGTTTGAACTCTATCGATATAGTCAGGAATATTAAGCCATGCAAATGCCCTGTGGTAGCTTCTGGAACTGATTGCAGCTGGAGGAGGAGCCAAGTCCTGCTGAGGGTTTGCGAACAGGCTGAAGGTGCCCGGGGAGCACTGTGGGTTCCGCCGCGGCACAGAAATAAATGGCTGAGTCTGTGGTCCGGGAAGAGGAAATGTACAGCGAGCTGTGGCGATCCTTTGCGACTGTCGTAGAGCTTAATCTTCCGTTCTGCTTTGTCCCAGAAGGAATGTAAAACAAGTGGGTGAAGTGGCCCCCAGGATTTTGGCGAAACCACTGCACCCTGTTCACAGAGGTGGAAAAATTACACTGCAGTGTGGAACTGGCTCCCTCTCGGAGACTCAGGTCTGGGGGGCTCTGCTTCACCTCCAACCCTGTCACACCTGATGAGAAACAGAGACACGGTCACAGATTATGGTCACTGCAACCCTTGCAAAACCCAGAAAATGCTCCCGCAGGTGATAGGAACAGAAAGCCTGCCTGTCTTGTGACCTCCCCCACTCCTCCCTCAACAACACTGCAGCTGCTAAATCCTTTCAGATGCCCACGTGGGACAATCCCAACTCACAGCAAACCTGGGTGCACAGAAGTCCCAGCACAGTGACCAGTAGCCTCTTCAGGACGCTTTGCCCTGTCGAGCAGGACATTTTCGCCATAAGATTAAATTTAACTAAACCTGGGGCATGAGTGTCACTGCCTGGATCTGGAACTTTTCCTGCTTCTGCGACCAATCAGCCTCAGCCAACAAACCCTGCTGGGGCCCAGACGCTCCACAACCGGAAGCGGAAGCCCCGCCCTCTGGCCTCAACCCCACCGAGAATGGGGGGGGGGGGGGGGGGGGGGGGGGAGTACGACCGAAGGCATTATTCTGATAGCCCAGGGACATTTGCTGAGAATCCTAAAAGTTCAAGTGTGGGAGAGGGAAAGGGAGCCCCCCCCCTTCCCTGGGGAGGGAACCAGGCTTCTTCTAAGCTAATGGAAGACAATCATAGAGAGAATTTCCATATTCTAAAATCTGAAAAACAGGTGAATATTCTAACAAGATATTTACTCACCTATGAATTAATTATATGAGAGTCATTCCAGCCATGCCAAATAATAAGAACGTAAATGTTATATATTATATATTTAATGAATTCCTATCATTGGGATATATGAAATATTTATGGCTTGGAATAACTAAGACTTCTGGTAAATATTGTTATGGGAACTGAACCTAATGAGACTGTAAATTGGGAGGAAAAACTAGGATCAATTTGGACATTATTTCTACATATTAACTTTGCTGCATAATACTTTGTTTTTCTAATTCTTGGCTGTAAAGTTTCCCGTGGTTCACACTTACAGTTCAGTGAATCCTTTTTCTAATTTCTCTATCTTCCTTTTTCCCTTCCATCTTCTCCTCTCATTGCACTTCTACTTCCTACTTCTTTTCTCCTTTTTTCCCTTAGCTTCTCTGTCTTCCCTCCTTTTGGTTTTCTAGTTGCAGGAAAGAAACAGAAAGAATATTAAGGAAAAGGTGGTATACAATGATTTAGAAATAATTTTGGACCTGTAAACAGAAGTCCTATTTCCCCAGATACAGAAAATCCTTAGGTAGTAAAAATGAAACAAATTAGAAAAATCTGGAATTCTTCCTCTTCCATTTCGCTTTCTGTGACTCTGATCTGGAAGTCTTTTCTAATAAAGGCACATGAAGATCATAATGATGTAAATACAGATAAAGGCATTACAGCTAGAAACGTCTAGTACTTGAATCAGGGAATAGGGCAAAGCGACTAATTGAAAAGCATATTCAGTAAGAAGCATGTTTCTTAAATGCTGATAATGATTTTGTTTTTCCTCACACCCAATTATTCCCCCCTCTTTACTGTTTATTACTATCCCCCATTTGCACACTCAGACAATTTCTCAAAGTCTTTCAACAACTACTACCAACTAGGTTGCTCAGGATAGTCCTGGTTTAAGAAAGACCTATAGTACCTCCTGACGGACCAGAACCTTAAGAAAGGAACACCTCTTACTCAGCAGATAAACGTAGCTCAGCCCAGCTGTCCTTGTCCGGCGCTGTCCCTGTGTATTGATTTGAAGCTACAGAAGTATCCACAGGATGGAGAGTATCATGGATTGGACCATGAGTCCCCCTAGCCCTCAGTGCTTTTTATGAAAATAAATATTTTCATGTAATATAATTTTGGGTAAGGATATGAAAACAATCTATTTAATTCTTAGCTATGAATTATTGTTTTTAAATTTTTCTGGTATTTATTTTTGAGAGAGAGAGAGGGAGACAGAATGTAGGTGGGGGAGGGGCAGAGAGAGAGGGAGACATAGAATCCAAAGCAGACTCCAGGCCCTAGGCTCTGAGCTGTCAGCACAGAGCCTGACGTGGGACTTGAACTCACAGACCATGAGATCATGATCTGAGCCAAAGTCAGATGCTTAACTGACTGAGCCACCCAGGCACCTCTTAGCTATGAGCTTATTAAAAAATGAGACCTGCAGTGTGATTCAATACAGGTTAGCTCATATATTTAAGAGTGTTCTAGATCTGGGAAAATAAAAAAATGAATTAGACACTAGATTCTCCTTCAGAGAGCTTATGATAATATTGGGGGAGGCAAACATCTTTCTAAATGTAATCAAAACCTAGAGAATGCAGCAATGAAAGCATGCCATAAATATTACCTGAACACCAAGACAGCAACAAGTACTTTAAGCCTCTATCATAGGAGGCAGTTCAGTGAAGAATGTGATACTGTTTGCCTTCTATGCAGGTGACAAGAGTAGACAGTAACAAAAGCAAAAATGGGGGATCTTTGAAAGGTGACCCATTATATTAATTTTTTAAAGTTTATTTATTTTGAGAGAGAGAGAGAGAGAGCGCGTGCGCACATGAGCGGGGGAAGGGCAGAGCGACAGAGAATCCCACGCTGTCAGCACAGAGCCTGACACAGGGCTCGAACTCAGAAAACTGTGAGATCATGATTTGAGCTGAAACCAAGAGTTGGATGCTTAACCCACTGAGCTACCCGGGCACCCCAAGGGACCCATTATTTTAAATACAAAGAATAGAGAAGATGAGCAAGTATATGGACAGGACCACTGATCACACACACACACACACACACACACACACACACATCAAAGAATTTGTTTCTGTCACTCGGATCTGGGCACAGTCTGTAACCTTAAGTAACTACTAATACCTTCTAGGCTCAAGGAAAAGGCTTATTCACATACCTTAAGGGTTGCCTCTTAAATTGCATTTCAATATCGGAAAAATTTGTGGGCTGTGCTGTGCAGACATTGATTTGGAATTTGGGAGGATTTAAGGGAAAAGGAAAGAAAAATCAACTCACTAACCCAGTCTTTCCTTTCAGATGGCATGGCTGCAATAGATTCTTGCATTATGAGATCTTATTTCTTGAGAATGCTAAGGATCTATTTTCTTTCTTACTTGTATACACATCTGTGGTCCTAAAGGGTATCAGTATGGTGTTCATAACAGTTGCTCATGATGGTTGGAACACTTTGCATGATTTAACAATACTGCTTTAAAACCATATGTATTTATTCTAGACTGAACCTGCATAAAAAGTGGTGCTATTTACTTTAGCAACTAGATGGACTTTGAAACTAAAATTGGCTCACTGTATTTTTATTTAAAAAATCTGTAACTAAGCTTAAAATTATTTATTTATTCATTTATTTATTTATTTATTTATTTATTTTTGAGAAAGAGAGAGAGAAGGTACACACCAGTGGGGGAGGGGCAGAAAGAGAGAGGGGGAGACAGAATCTGAAGCAGGCTTCAGGCTCTGAGTTGTCAGCACAGAGCCTGACACAGATCTCGAGCTCATGACCCCTGAGTTCATCACCTGAGGCAAAGTCAGAGAAGTCAGACGCTTTACCAGCTGAGCCACCCAGGGGCCCCTAAGGTTAAAATTTTTAAATAAAATTTCAGCTTTAGGCACATTTTACTAAAACTGTTGATTATTCTTTTTTATGTTTTGCTTTTTAGCTTTAGTTGATTAAAGGAAAATAACTTCCTGAAAACACATGAATAAATTTTAGTTTGTGCTCTTGTCTCAGGCTCTATAAATAACAAGAGTCTTCTGCAGATGGATTTACAGTTTCAAGGAATGGAAAATGGAGGCCTCCATAGTTTTACTGAAATCAAGTAATCCTCAGACATTGAATATCTGATGAATTGTTCAAGAATATTGCAAATTTTTATCAACGGCACGGTGAGAAAAAAATGTAGGAAAAGAAGATGATTAAGGATTCACTTATTGTTATGGTCCATTCAACAGGTATGAGAGAAATTGAATTAGAGGAGAGAAAAAGGGAGGCAGTAACCTGGGTGTGCAAATCAAGAAAGGCTGCTCACTCACAGGACAAACAAGTCCAAGATTTCACATGAACTTCATCATGACACGTGTTTGACTGAGAGTGTCTGTTACCAAGGACCAGTGGATACGAAAAGCCCTTTTCCCTTCATTCTATATTGTCTTTCAAAGGTTACCAACAATATCCTTAAAATGCCAGCTCCAATTAAGTCCATTCTTAAATATTGTAGTCAAAGTGCTGATGTTCTTTAAGGAAAGATGCCTCTTAGGATACTAGTAAAATTATCTGGAGATAATACAGTTTGACATAAGCAATTACTCTGGGTTTTCGGTAGAACAATTCTCTGATTTGCCTTATGCCAACTCAGATGGCCAACCCCAGACCATCTAAGCCCATCACTATTTCAAATGACATGAGAGAAATAATTTCCTCCAGCTTGTTGGAAACCAAACCCTACAGCTTCATTTCCTCTAGAATCCTGACTCTAGAGGACAAAAATGCTGCACTTCAAAAAACAGGAGTCTCGCCTTTGCAAAATGGATAAAATACATAAATCAAAGGAAAACTATCTAGGAGCACCTGGGTGGCTCAGTCGGTTAAGAATCCAACTTTGGCTCAGGTCATGATCACCGTTTGTGAGTTCGAGCCCTGAATTTCAGGCTCTGCACTGACAGCACGCAGCCCACTTCAGATCCTCGGTCTCCCTCTCTCTTTGCTCCTCCTTTGCTTGTTCTCTCTCTCTCTCTCTCTCTCTCTCTCGCTCTCACTCTCTCGCTCTCTCGCTCTCAAAAGTAAATAAACATTAAAAGAAGGGAAAATATCTAAGATGTCCATAGAAACCACACTTCCCAGGATTCTGTATTATCTCTATTATCTTGTCTTCACAGAGCATGTCAACTTCCTGAAAATAGCTTGCGCTGAGACCTTGAGTCCTTTAAGTTACAATGTCTCAGAAGGTTTGTGCTCAGCTCCCCCTGCAGTCCCAGGCACTGTGTCACTCACAGCACAGAAGTACTTGGCCGCATCGTTCCATTGGACTGCGGGTTTCTCCAGGTGGAAGGACTTTTCAGATTTCTTAAATTTAGCTTCAAAACCTTTGATGCCTTGAACCATGGCATCTGATGACCCTGCAGAGTGCTTGAGGAGGAGCTGGAGTCCTTGGTTGGGGTGCTGCACGTACCAGAAGAGATAAGTCATTCCTGTAGAGGAATAGTTGCACCTCAGCTCCAGGCGGTCTCCTTCGGAGACAGTGAGGTGGACGTCAGGCTGGGTCAGGGACTGGGCTCCGGTTCCTCCTGAAACATCAATGCTGAGTCAGTGAACTACACTAAAGCAAAAGGCCTATATTCAGAGTCAAACCAGAACAATGTTTTTTGTGTGGACAAGGGAGTTCAATGGAATGTTACTCACTCAGGAACAGAAGCATCCCAAGCGTCAAGATGAACACCAAGGTCATGGCTGAGCAGGGAAGAACCAGAGAGTGCCTTTCTGGGAAATTCTTCACACACAAATAAATAAAAATCTGATGACTGCGGGGGGACTTGAATCCAGATTGCTCTGAGGTTGAGGAGGAATGATAGGAGATTTAGATTCTTTCTTCTTAGGGACTGTTAGGAAGAGATGCTCTCTGGACAAAACCGTCTGCCCCTGGTGTCTGAGATTCTTTACATGTCACTGTCTAAAAACTGCTGTCAGAACACCTTTTTAACTGTAGGGACAGAAGGGTTTTTTTGAGCTTATTCCGATCTTTTACAGAAAAGGCATTTCCAATTTAGGCAACAGTGCCCTCTAGGGGCCAAACAGAGCTAAGGAGACAGTCACTTTTTTTGGTGAACCTTCCCCACCTGTTCCTGACTGTCTATGGGTGAATTTCAAAGCATTATGATTGGTACAGAGATTTATGTTTTATAGGGCCTGAAACATGTAAAATGGGGGCTTTTTTATAAAAGAATAGAAAATTTTGAATAAAAAATTGGATACAAAATAATTTTTTAGAATGAGAAAGAAAATTACAACAAATTTTACTAAACAAATGCCACACACATCATAAAATCTAGGAAACTGCATATTTTATTCTTTATTTCCCTGATACATTTATTTAATACTTTTTGTTCCTTTGTCTTTTGATGCCATAGTTTTTAGTTGTTTCTTCACTGACAATAAATGTGTAATACTTCCTATATAGTAAACATAAAGATAATTCAGTTTTTACTCCCAGCATGGTTGATCGCACACACACAAAATTTTAATTCACGGTGCATTGTGATAATGCTACATACATACATTTTTAGGATTAGAGCCAAATTTTGTAAAACCTCTATTAAGTCACTATGTGCTGTAAGATTTCATCACATTTCCAGTTTTCTCCTGCTATAACAAACCCTAAATGTTATGAATTGATGATACTAGCCAACCAGTATATTAAGTCTGTGTTACTTTTCTATTGCTACATACCAAATTACCATGAGCTCTGTGATTTAGAACAACACCCATTTATATTCTCACGTTTTCTGTACATCAGATGTCTGGGCACAGTTAAGCAAGATCTCACAGTCTACAATCAAGAAGTCAACCAAGACTGCTGTCTTGTCTGAGGTGAGGCGTCCTCTTCCAAGCTCAAGTTTTTGGCAGAATTCATTTTCTTATAGTTGTAGAACTCTTAGCAGCTTGCTTCTTCAAGCCTAGAGGGAGAATCTCTCTGATTCCCAGAAAATCTAACCCTTCTTGTATAGGGCCCACCTGATTGTATCAGGCCCACCAAGGATAGTCTCTCTTTTGATGAACTCAACATTAAACTGATTAAGGGCTTTAATTACACCTACAAAATCTCTTTACCTTTGCCATTAATATAACTTAGTCGTATAAGTGACATCGGTCATAGTCTAGGTCCTGCCTGCACTCAAGGGGAGGAGATTATACAGGGTATATACACCAGAGGGCAGAAATCTTAGGCACCATCTTAGAATTTGCCTACCACAGTTGTTAATGTCTTCATCTTACTGGCATATTATGAGTTATGCATTATCTCCATAAAGGTAAAATATTTGGGACCAATCAGCAAGAAGTTAATAAAACTGGCAAGGCCACTTCACACTGAAGGAAAACAGAAGCAAAGGCATTCACCACAAAGGTAAGGAATTAAGTTTATATAGAATGGAGTGCATAGATATGGTAACAGTAGGCAGTAAGACTATAAAAGTGGATTGCAAACAGCCAGGAAGATGGGATATAGTTTTAAATACCAGAAAGCTGCCAATAGTAGACCATCAGGCCTTTAAGGAAACAAAGACTTGTTAATGGACCATTAGCAAAGTCTTATGTCTTGCCTGAGTAGTCAGGCTGCCGGAATGAGAATTGAAGCCATAGGAGCAGATGGGATTTCCAAACTACAGCTCACACATTGAGAAGAAAAGAGGGCCCTACAACAGGAGGAATGCTTGCCATGTGGAATAATCAAAGAATAGTATAAAAGGGCACTGCAGAAGATCTCCCAGATCTCAAATTTTTATTTTTAATTTTTATTTATTTACTTAGTTTTTAAATGTTTATTACTTTTGAGAGAGAGAGAGATGGGAGCAGGGGGGCGGCCAGAGAGAGGGTGAGACACAGAATCTAAAGAAGGCTCCAGGCTCTGAGCTGTCAGCACTGAGCCTGATGCAGGGCTCAGCCTCACGAACTGCGTGATCATGACCTGAGCTGAAGTCAGACGCTTAACCAACTGAGCCACCCAGTTGCCCCTAGATCTTGAATTTTTAAATGGGAGTGCAGAGGGCCAGAGAGAGAAAGGTTTCAAAAAAGGAATGCGTGAATGAGTGTCACCACTGCAGAAAGTGGTTGCTCTAAATGTGATCTGTAGGGGAAGTAGCATCTGCTTCACCGGGGCTATTCTGAAATGCGTGATCTCAGACACTACCCAAACTTCCTAAGTCAGAATCTGCATATTAATAAGATTCATGTGCACATTAAAATTTGAGAAGCACTCTCCTAGTGTTTCAATGAAACTTAAAAATATCTTTTGGATTTAATGATGAAGAGGTCATTGATGACTTCTTAGAAAACAGATTTTAAAAAGGGTTGGGACATAGGAGGATTAGGAGGAACTTAACGGAGGACTGTGGGGGAGAAGAAGGGGAGAAATAGGGAGAGAGAGGAAAGGAGGCAAACCATGAGAGACTCTTGAATGTTGAGAACAAACTGAGGACTGATGGGTATGGGAGTGGGAGGGGAAGGGGGGAGATGGGCATGGAGAGGGGCACTTGTGGGGATGAGCACTGGGTGTTATATGGAAACCAACTTGACAATAAACTATTTTTAAATAAATAAATAAATAAAATAAAAAAATAAGAAGGGTTGGGACAAAAACCAAGAAGCATGGGGATGTGGAGTGAAAGACGGGTGACAAAGTGAAAGCAGTTATGATTGAGGCTACAGTAAAGGAACACAGAGCCAAGAAATGGACTGGTGGCAGGAGAGGCATGTATGGGCTTGGGGGGAGTGTTAGATTATTTTTTAAGATGAGAAAACTTAAATACTTTAAATGATGAAAAGGAACCGCTGGCAATAAATAAATAAATAAATAAATAAATAAATAAATAAATAAAGGATTATGGAGTTTGGGTAATCAGTAGGCTGAGGTGCCAGAAAAGTGAGACAGAATGGTATGGATGCAGAGTTTGGGCACAGGATACTGTTTAAAAGTAGGAAGGATGCCTTTTACATGTTTACAGAAAGTAAGGTAAATTATGTGTATAAAAGCAGCAAAGTTTTAGTTGGGATGCAGAAAGTTGAAGATGATTCATTTAATGATATCGATTATCTTTATGGTCATCTCTCATGGATAATCAAAAGGTGGTGGATGTTTTGGCAGAGTAGAAGTTCAAGGGAGATATTATAGAGTATGGGATGATAATAGATTATAGAAACAAAATATTTTCATGCACCATTTCACGTACAGTTGATGTTAAAAGCCATGACTATACGGAGGCAATCTTCAGTATGGCTATGTGATTTTTACCAGCTCTGCCCATCCATCAAGCAGTAGGACTAAGAAGAAAGATTGGTCCAGAAGTGGAATTTAACAGATGTGTTGTGATGGTTAATTTTGCGTCAACTTAACTGGCCTGAGGGATGTCCAGATAGCTGGTAAAACATTCTTTCTGTGTATGTCTGTGAGGATTTCCAGGAGAGCTATGTGGATTGGTGGCAGGACAGGCATGTGTGGGTTTGGGGAGAGTATTAGATTATTTTTTAAGATGAGAAAATTTAAATATTTGAAATGATGAAAAGGAATCAGTGCCAAAAAAATAAGATTATAGAGTGAGATTATTTGACTGAGTACAACAAGCAAAGAGATCTGCTCTCACCAGTGTGGGCAGGTATGGTCTAGTCCACTGGGGGCCTGAATGGAACAGAAAGATGGAGGAAGAGCAAACTGTCTCCATTTTACCCCTTTCTCTCTTTGTGAGTGGGAACATCCCTCTTTTTCTGCTGTCAGACAATGGAGATCCTGGTTCTCAGGCCTTCGGACATGGAGGGAATTATACCACTGGCTTTCCTGGTCCTTTAGCTTGCTGATGGCAGACTTTGGAACTAATGGGTGAGCCAATTCCTATAATAATAAAATAAATAAATATCCTATTAATTTTCTCTGAAGAACCATGACTGACCCAAGCATCCTAGAATAACAAATGGACAAAATGAGATGAGAATAACAGCAAGAAGCAGTTGAAGAAATATGCCCTGGAGAGTGTTGGATGAGAAGGAAGAGAAAATAGCAGAGAAGACAGAAGACCATGAAGGAGCTGGAGGATCAGATGCTATTCAAGAACAGATTTGGTGGGAGTAACTAAATGAGGAAAATCAAAGCAGATGATGGTCATCCGAGAAGGAAGAGCTTCAGAGATGGAAAAGTTCTGGTTAATGACTCGTGGCATGACTAGCTTTTTTGACGTCTGGATCAAATAAAGTTTAAGACTCTTTTTCACTATGCAGAAAAATGTTTCATAATTATCATGGTATATTTAGGAAAGGACATATTTTCTTGATGCATTCTTTAGTTTTTAATGTAAATAATTAACAATTTGATAAAGAGGATATTTCAATTTTTAAAACATAATTCAATAAATCATTTATTTATGACTTAAGCTTGCACTTAAAAATATTACCCCTTCTGGGGTGCCTTAGTAGCTCAGTTGGTTAAGCATCCGGCTCTAGATTTTGGTTCGGGTCATGATCTCACGGTTCATGGGATTGAGCCCTGCGTTGGGCTCTGCGCTGGTAGCACAGAGCCTGCTTGGGATTCTCTTTTCTCTCTCTCTGTCCTTTCCCTGCTCGTGTGCTCTCTCTCTGTCTCTCTCTCAAAAATAAAACGAACATTAAAAAACTATATTACCCCTTATAGTGTTCACTCTCTGACTGTTTTATGTTTTAAACACAAATAGAAACTATCAATCATCCCATAAAATAACAAATAGAATAATTCAATATTATGTTTCTCTCCACAACCATTGTACTATTATTGTTTGTTTCAAATCTATGTTTGAATGCAGAAATATATAACTCTACGGGTTTAGAAATATGAACTGTGTGAAAATCAAACTCAAACAATTACACAATGTTACAAGCTTTCACTGCTGGGAACACGGAATAGTTGTACTTTTCTCT